TGAGACTCCATCTCAAAAAAAAAAAAAAGGAATCTCAAGGGAACTTAAATAGCAAAAACAAATTTGAAAAACAAGAACCAAGTTCTCTGGTTTAGCACCAAGGGAAAAAAACAAAAAGAACAAAGTTGGTGGTCTCACACACTGCTCAATTTCAAAATTTCTAATAATCAAAATAAGCTGGTACTAGCATAAAGATAAACATACAGGCTAACAGAATACACAGGGCTGAGAAATCAATCCTCACATATGAGGCCAATTGATTTTCAACAGGTGCAAAGATCATTCACTGGGAAAAGGAAAGTCTTTTTAATGAAAAGTGATGGGAAAAGTGGATGCACACATGCAAAAGAATGAAGGTGAACCCTTACCTTATACCATCAAAAATACTCGGCCAAGCATGGTGGCTCATGCCCTGTAATCCCAGTACTTTGGGAGGCCAAGGCAGGAGGGTCACCTGAGGTCAGGAGTTTGAGACCAGCCTGGCCAACATGGCAAAACCTCATCTCTACTAAAAATACAAAAATTAGCTGGATATGGTGACTGGCACCTGTAATACCAGCTACTCAAAAGGCTGAAACAGGAGAATCACTTGAATCTGAGAGGCAGAGGTTGCAATGAGCCATGATCGCACCACTGCACTCCAGCCTGGGTGACAGAGAAAGAATGTCTTTTAAAAAAAAAAAAAAAAAAAAAGCCAGGTGCAGTGGCTCACGCCTGTAATCCCAGCACTTTGGGAGGCCGAGGTGGGTGGATTGCTTGAGGTCAAGAGTTCGAGACCAGCCTGGCCAACATGGTGAAACCTTGTCTCTTAAAAAAAAAGAAAAATAAATAAATAAATAAAAAGGCCAGGGGTGGTGGCTCATGCCTGAATCCCAGCACTCTGGGAGGCCGATGTGGACAGATCACGAGGTCAGAAGTTGGAGACCAGCCTGGCCAACATGGTAAAACCCCATTTCTACTAAAAATACAAAAATTAGCCAAGCATGGTTGCATGCACCTGTAATCCCAGCTACTCCAGAGTCTGAGGCACAAAAATCACTGGAACCCAGGAGGTGGAAGTTGCAGCAAGCCAAGATTGCACCACTACACTCCAGCCTGGGCAACAAAGCAAGACTCTGTCAAAAAAAAAAAAAAAACTACAAGAGCGTAATACTAGGAAATAACCTTCATAAGTAAGAACAACTGAAAGAAGGGAAAAATCAAGAGTTAGGAGAATGAAGTTAAATGATGCGATAAAAGCCAAGGAAACAAAAATATAGTTTAAAGTACGAGAAAATGGTCAAACAACAACAAGAAATGTAGCAAATAAAGCCTAAATAAAGGTAAGTGTGTTTATCAATGATAACATTAGCTAAAACAAAGTAGAGTGACAGAGCAATTATATATCAGTAATTGAACAGAAAATGGGAAAAAATGTGTGTGTGTGTGTGTGTGTATACATGCATGTGTATATAATTTTTTAAATCCTTAAATCAGAGGTTGGCAAATTTTCCCTGTAGAAGAACAGACAGTAAATATTTTAGGCTTTACAAGCATCATATGGTCTCTGTCACATATTCTTATATACATAAAAAAAAATAGGCTATAGGCCAGATTTGCCCCATTCCTGCCTAAAAATAATTTCTACTCCCAAATCAAGCACTTAGAAAGTTTACATATAGCTAAATACCATTTTCATACATGAAGATAATGCTATTTCTTACAGCATGACTCAAGTTGCTTTTCTCCCTCCAGTGACAGAGATACTATACATTAATGAATCTGAACCACTCTCTTGATCCATTAAAATCAAAAGCTCAACCATTATATAATCCCAACAGCTGCTTTATATAACAAAAAAATAGACCTGGCTGGGTGCGGCAGCTCATGCCTGTAATTCCAGCACTATGGAAGGCCAAGTTGGCAGATCACTTCAGCTCAGGAGTTTGAGATCAGCCTGGGCAACATGGCAAAACCTCGTCTCTACTAAAAATGCAAAAAATTAGCCAGGCACGGTGGTGCATGCCCGTAGTCCCAGCTACTCGGAGGCTGAGGTAGGAGAATCACCCAAGTCTAGGAAGTTGGGGCTGCAGTGAACTGTGATTGTGCTACTGCGCCCCATCCTAAGTGACAGAGCCAAACACTGTCTGAAAAAACAAACCAACAAAAATACGTCTGATCCTTTCAGCTAACAAACTCCTTCAGGCCCTGTCCTCCAAAGAAATTTTAATAAATTCTGCATCATCCAGCAGTAGATTAAACTGTTTCTAGATAACAAGGGTAAAAATATAATTTGTGGTCAACTGTTTAAATCTTATTTTAATTGTGTTAGATAATCAAGATGATTAAGATGTGGCTGAGGAATCAAGTTTAAAGATGGCATCTACCATTTGCAATGATAAACAATACCACAGCAAAAAGTATAAACTCAAAGAACCTTTCCCCTTTGACAAAAAAACTGTACACATTGCTTGAGTAGCACTTACTCCTGCTGTAACAATCCTTAGAAAAAGCAAAGCAATAACAAGATCACACACAAAGCAAGGGAAACTCATGAGCATGGGGATTCCAAATCCAAAAAATAGTAGCTGTTAAGTGGCCTACAATTTTAGCAAGAAAAGTAAAGCAAACGAAAGTCGTGTGCAGGGATTGATTTACTTTTGCCGAACTTGGGTTTAAAAATCAAAATAAGGCCGGTTGTGGTGGCTCACGCCTATAATCCAAGCACTTTGGAGGCCAAGGCAGGCGGATCACCTGAGGTTAGGAGTTCAAGACCAGCCTGACCAACATGGTGAAACCATGTCTTAAAAAAAAAAATCAAAATAAGACAAGTTCAGGCCAGGCACAGAAGCTCATACCTGTAATTCCAACACCTGGGGAGGCCAAGACAGGTGGATCACCCGAGGTCAGGAATTTGAAACCAGCCTGGCCAATGCGATGAAACCCTATCTGTACTAAAAAAATACAAGAAAGTTAGCCGGGCATGGTGGTGCACACCTGTAATCCCAGCCACGTGGGAGGCTGAGGCACAAGAATCACTTGTACCTGGGAGCGCAAGGCTGCAGTGAGCCAAGGTGGTGACATTGCACTCCAGCCTGGGCAACAGAGACTCTGTTTCAAAAATAAATAAGGGAAGTTTAAGCAAAAAGAGGCAAGAGCCTTATTCATAATAGTCAACATATGGAAGAAACCTGAGTCCTTTGATAAAGGAAAGAATTAATAAAATGTAACTTATACAGTAGTTCCTCAGTATCCACGGGAGATTGGTTCCAGGACCAGATAGCAAAATCCACAGATGTTCAAGTCTCTGACATAAAATGGTGTGGTATTTGCATATAACCTATGTATATCCCCCCCATATACTTTAAATCATCTCTAGATTATTTATATGCTAAATAAATATTATATCACATTATTTACATAATAGCAAGAAAAAAAGTCTGCACATCTTCAGTAAAGACACAATTCTTGGTTGAATCCACAGACGAGTTATCCACAGATACAGAGGGCCAATTGTGTATTTTTTCAATGGAATATTATTCTATCTTTAAAAAGATAAAAATTAGGGCCAGGCACAGTGGCTCACTCCTATAATCCCAGCACTTTGGGAGGACGAGGTAGGTGGATAGCTTGAGGCCTGGAGTTTAAGACCAGCCTGGCCAACATGGCAAACCTCATCTCTACTAAAAATAAATTAGCCAGGTGCAGTGACACATGCCTGTAATCCCAGCTACACAGAGGGCTGAGGCATGAAAATCACTTGAACCCAGGAGGCGGAAGTTGCAGTAAGCTGAGATCACACCATTGTACTCCAACCTGGCTACAGAGCCTGACTCTATCTCCAAAAAAAAAGACAAAAATCATTAGAGAATACTATGCTAAGTGAAATAAGCAAAACAAAACAAAAAATACTGCAAAATATTCATAAAAGTAGAATGGTTGTTGCCAGGGACAGAGAGAGACTGAAAGATGTTGGTCAAAGGGTACAAAGCTTCAGTTATGCCAGGTAAATTTTAAAAAAAGAAACATTAAGCATGCTATTTTAACAAGTAATAATTTTCAGCTTGCTCTTTGGTTGAGCAATTTATGGATTAGGATATCCATAGGGCAGTAAATTCACAAACATTAGATACTAACAATAACTCTGAATCCATTTTGTGCCTTATATAGGTAAGTTTTGTTTCCATTATGATTTGGGATTATTTTTCTTCCCTTCTTCAATTACAGCAGACCTACCACATCCATTGGTTCTGTGCCCGCAGATACAGCTGGCCAACTAAGGGATGTGAGTATCCTCAGATTTTGGTATCTGGAGAGGGTCCTGGAACCAGTCTCCCTCAGATAAAGAAAGTTGCCTGTAATCATGAGTTGTCTATACAATCAACCTTCCATGGAGGCTGCAGCTGTGTATTCAACCAACCACAAATCCAAAATATTTGGGATGAAACAAGGGGGAGGATTTCACAAAGTTCCAAAAAGCAAAATTTGAATTTGCCACACACTGAGTACTACATTGAATCCACACAAACCAAGTGATGTACAGGCATTGTGTTGGGTATTTTAAGCAATCTAGAGGTGATTTAAAGTATGTGATATGTAGGCATTGTATTAGATATTATAAGCAATCTAGAACAAATTTAAAGTATACACGTGGATCTGCATAAGTTATATTGCAAATACTACACCATTTTATATAAGGGACTTGAGCACTGTCAGGTTTTGGTATTCTCTTGTGGTCCTGGAACCAACCCCCAAGGATATCGAGGAACATTCTAAATATATATGAATAATTCTGATAAGTTATCCAATTTGCCTACAATCCTAGATCCTGAACCCAACAGATACTCATAACAGAAAAGTGATCTGTCACTTCACAGAATGTAAAAGCAGTTGAAGTATATTTTATAGTGGCTTACATTTATCAACATCTGTAACATTCCACAGAACCAACATGTTAAATCCAACACCCAGCCCATCTCAATCTTCCTTTTATTTCTAAGAACACAAAAACTACTACTTACCATTCAGAAATCTCTTGCTTCAATTGAGGAACTTCACTAAGTGCTGAATCAGTATCCATGAAACCAAGAAAGTCTCGTTTTATATTAAGGGAAGTCTTCTCCAAACCCTTGCCTGAAGTTTCATGACCCCTTGACAAAGGATCCGAATCACCTGGTTGTATCTCTGACCCCTGACCTTCTGTAAGACGGACCCGATGACCAGAAGAACTGGAAATATTATTCCCTTCTTGGTCAGAGCTGTTCTTTTGTTTTCCATCTCTCTGGGGCTTACTATTCAGCCCATCATCACGAAAGCCTTTGGCAAATGGATTGTAATCTATTTTCAGCTGAGTAATCTGAATGTTCTGATAAGCTGTTACTGCAAAGAATTCAGTCTGTGGGAAGGTAAAAGTGTGGACACCAGGGCCATTTAATTGTATCACCTCCACAGCCTTTTCTGCAGGCACCAAATGAAGCCTCGGCAGGTAACGATGCATAGAGTGCAAGATGATATGCCCTTCTTGGTCCAGTGTATTGTTGGTAAGTTTGAGTTTATAGAAAGATACTGGTTGATGCATCCAATAATGACCTGTGGAAGGAGATTCTGGATGAATAAAAACCCTCCCCAAAACATGAGGCTCAGCCTTCCCACTGGGTTCCCACCAACGACCATTCCACTTATAACGATGGTTATCCACAGGAGATATATCCATGACAAGAATATACTTCAAATTTGAATCTAAACCTGTTATCCAATAACGACAGTAAGGAAACATGCGTCTTCCTTGCTTGGTCAGAATCATTTCTGTGCTTCGATGATAGAACTCATTCCACATACTATTGTTATCGAGGGTAACAGTGATTCCACCCACAGTACAATCAGCTGGAAGGCAAATCTTCCCTTTAGATTTTACTGGTGATGACACACTACTAGTCAAAGCACAGGCATCCTGATTAGTAACCAAAATTCCTTGATCAGTTTTGCCATTTCCTGGCTGCTTTAGGATGACAAAGAAGGTAGGTGCTGCTCCTGCCACTGTTCCACCATCTTGATTAGCCAATATAATCTGCTGTTTCTCCTCCATGATTTCAGTAGGAAACTCAGTAGTAAGACAACTGTAATCACCACATAGTCACAATGGCCTTCCCATCCTAAGAAACAAGCAAAAAAAAAACCAAAAACAAAAAACACCCTTTAATCAAGTGAATATTTATTTCTTGAACAAAAATACAAGAATGATTATGTCATTCCCGAAATAGTCCTAAATTCTTCCAAGACTTTGCTTCTAAACCTTTCAATCACATTAAGAATATTTATTCTGGAATATCTAATCATTTTTTAAAGCTCATTTAAATTTAATTAGTTAAGATGCCCATATCCTAACCCTCTAACAATTCACTATAAATACTATAATCTCACACAAAGAAACTAAAGTGTATATTCATTATAAAAAATAAAAGTATACAAAATTAAAAAGGTAAATTTGAAGGTTATGTATTTTTAAAGTATCCTAACATTTTATGAATTTACCAGAAGATTCCTTCATATACCAAGTTCTCCTGGGATGAGCAAATTAAATAAGTAAATTTCCATTTCCATTCCAAAGAGCTAATTGTACAGAATTAGTTCTTCAAGTGGTTCAGGAGACAGACATGGTTTCATAAATAAGTAAAAAGCTATCTTAACTTCTTAGTACACACATTTAAAGAAGCCATAACAAATCACTGGAACTCAGTGGACCTTACAATGAAAAAAAAATCCAGATGAATCTAATATTTAATTTTTTTATTCCTAAATCCTGAGAAAAGCTTTTTGATAAGACACAAAACCTAAAACTAGCAAGGCCAAAAAAAAAGTTGATAAATTTAACACTATATAAGGCCTGGTGCCATGTCTCACACCTGCAATCTCAGCACTTTTAAGAGGCCAAGGCGGGTGGATCACTTAAGGCAAGGAGTTCAAGACCAGCCCGCCCAACATGGCGAAACCCCATCTCTACTAAAAATTTTTTTAAAAATTAGCCAGGTGTGGTGGTATACACTTGTAATCACAGTCACTCAGGAGACTGAAGCATGACAATCACTTGAAACTAGGAGGCAGAAGTTGCGCTGAGCCAAGATCATGCCACTGCACTCTAGCCTGGGCAACAAGGAAAGACTCTGTCTCAAAGAAATAAAAATTAAAATTAAAATTAAAAAATTAAATATTCTGTAAATTATTTAATCTAGCAAAATCATTTAAGCAAAATCAAAAAGCAAACAACCAGGAAAAGGTATCTGCAACTTATAAAAAACTCATTTACCTAATATACAAAGAGGGCTGGACATGGTGGCTCACACCTACAAACCCAGCACTTTAGGAGGCAAAGGCAGGAGGATCCCTTAAAGTCAGGAGTCCCAGACCAGCCTGCCCAACATAGTGAGAGCCTGTCTCTATTAAAAAATAATAGTGGCCAGGAGCAGTGGCTCACACCTAGAATCCAAGCACTTTGGGAGGCCAAGGAGGTAGAATCACTTGGGGTCAGTTCAGGACCACCCTGGCCAACATGGTAAAACTCCATCTCTACTAAAAACACAAAAACTAGTTGGGCGTGGTGACATGTGCCTATAATCCCACCTACTCAGAGGCTGAGGCAGGAGAATCTCTTGAACCCAGAAGGTGGAGCTGCAGTGAGCTGAGATGGCATCACTGCACTTCAGCCTGGGCGAAATAGTGAGACTCTGTCTCAAAAAATTAAAATCAAAATAAGTAACAGTGATAATCATTTTTAAAGGATTCCTACAAATCAGTAAGACCAAATACCTAATAGAAAAATGATAAATACAAATGCCTATGAATATACACATAGTTTAAGAATAAGAGGATAGAAAATTTAAATCATCTTGAGATACTGTTTTTTTAACTTATCAGACTTGCAAAAATCAAAGTCTGGTAGTGTTGGAAAGTGTATACATCAACCAGCATTCTCCCCTAACCAGTTACTGGAAGTATAAAAATAACAGAATCTCTATGACAGAGGGCAACTTGAAAACCTCAAAAGTACAAATCCAAATATCATCCTATAACAAAGAAGTTTTTCTAGACTTTGTTTTTTTTAAATCACTGATAAAACCCACTATAGGACTTTAGTTTAAATACACACCTGTTATAAATGGTATATACAAGATTATTCCCTGCATTCCCATTTATAACAGCAAAAGACTACAGAGAAGTCCTTAAAATGGTAAAGCAAATGACAGCACATCCACAGAGTGGAATGGTAGCGGTAATAAAAAAGAATGTATAAGCTTAATGAATGCATACTTCTACAAGATAAAGTTTAAAATGTTCAGTAGAGTTATAAATTGTGCCATACATCTTTTAAAAGTTTTTGATTGTACTTCTTAAACTTCAGGCAAGGAGTACAAGTGCAGGTTTGTTTATGAGTATACTGCATAATATAAGGTTTAGGCATCTAATAATCCCATCATCCAAGCAGTGAACATAGTACCTGATAAATGGTAGTTTTCTAACCTTGTAAAAGATTTTACCTTTTCAAAGTCAAAGAAATAGTATTCTGGTATTTAAAATAAAAAGCCAAAGAATGAAAAAGAACATGTATCTATTTGCTTGACACAGACTATCGCTGGAAAGACAGAAAAGAAAATGGTAGTACTGGTCATATCCAAGGAAAACTTGATGACTTGGAAAAGATACCCTCTTATATTTTCTAAATTTTGTGCTTTGTGAACATACAACTTTCAAAAACTAAAAAACAGGCCAGGTGGGGGCAGGTGCAGTTGCTCACACCTATACTTTCTGCACTTTAGGAGGCCAAGGTGGGAGAAACTCTTGAGGTCAGGAGTTCAAGACCAGCCTGGTCAACATAGCCAGAGTCGGTCTCTAAATAAAAATTAGCAGGTATGGTGGCTAGGAGGCTGGGGCAGGAGGACACCTTGAGCAGACCTGGAAGTTCAGGCTGCAGTGAGCCATAATCACATCATTGCACTCCAGCCTAGGAGACAGAGTGACAGAGTGAGACACCAACTCTTTAAAAAATAAAGTTAAAATTAAATTAATTATTAAAAGTTATAAAGAAAAAGGTCACATATATTGTACGATCCATTTATATGAGATGTCCAACACAGGCAAATCTAGAGAAACAGAGAGCAGATTAGTGGTTTCAGGGGGAGGAGTAACAGACTAACTGCTAATGGGTATGGGATTTCTTTTTGGTGTTTACTTTAAAATGATGAATTTTATGTTATATGAATTATATCTCAATAAAAAGTTTAATAATAAGGAAATCTGAGGCCAGTCATGGTGGCTCATGCCTATAATCCCAGCACTTTGGGAGGCTGAGACAGAATGATCGCTTGAGCCCAGGAGTTTGAGACCAACCTGGAAAACACAGTGAGACTCCACCTCTACAATGGTGTGTACCCAGAGTCCCAGTTACTTGAGCGGCTGAGGTAAGATGATCGCTTGAGCCTGGGGGTGGGGAGGCCAAAACTGCAGTGAGCTGTGATGGTGCCACTGCACTCCAGTCTAGATGACAGAGTGAGACCCTGTCGAAAGAGAAGAGAGGAGAGGAGAGAGGAGAGAAGAGAGGAGAGGAGAGAGGAGAGAAGAGAAGGAAGAGAGAAAGAGAGAGAGGGTGGGGAGACGAGGAGAAAGGATGAGAGATGGGAAGAGGGAGAGAGAGAGGGAGAGGTAGGGTGAGAGACGGGGACAGAGGGCGATAGGGGAACACAGGGGGACAGAGGGGGACGGAGTGATCTGATTGCTAAAATCAACTGATTTGCTAAAATCAACTAAACTGATATGCTAAATTAAAGCTATAGCTATGGCCGGGCACGGTAGCTCACACCTGTAATCCCAGTATTTTGGGAGGCCAAGGTGGGTGGATCACAAGGTCAGGAGATGGAGACCATCCTGGCCAACATGATGAAATCCCATCTCTATTAATAATACAAAAATTAGCTGGGTGTGGTGGCACATGCCTGTAATCCCAGCTACTCGGGAAGCTGAGGCAGGAGAATCCCCTGAACCCGGGAGGCAGTGGTTACAGTGAGCCAAGATCGCTGCACTGCACTCCAGCCTGGAAAGAGAACAAAACATCACCTCAAAAAAAAAAAAAAAGCTATAGCTTTTAGTTTTATACAAAAAGGAAGATGCTACATCACCATTCCTGTGTAACTGGGTCAATAATCTTAATCAAATTCAGCCACTTATTAGTCTTCTTCATTATAAAGTATTTTATCTTTCATCACAGCTAATGATGTGCAGCAAAAGCATCTAATCTGAATTTTACCTCTTCTTACAAGATTGGTCATATAGCTATACAGCTCCAAAGCTTAAAATAACTGTTAGTCTATAGATATTTTTAAATCAAGACTTCAAAACGTTGGCTAGTGTTTCCTATTATGACTAGAGCTAAAAACAGAAATGGACTTCCTACATTAATGAACTAATATCAGGTAAGGTGAGGAACAACAACAAAATCTCTCCTCTCACGTGGAGTTTATTTTTAAAAGACAGATAAAATTTACAGTGATTCTTTTCAAAAGCCCCCAGCTTTTACACATGAAGTTGACTTTTACCTATCATATTGACCGGTTTTCTAAAACTAACACACTTAGGCAATACCTATCGGAGACTGACAAAAAAAACTAAACAGACTCAGAAGTCACAAATAAGGTAAAATATTAAAACTTAAAAAGCTGGCAAGAAATAATACCTCTACAATGTGGTGTAATTCAAACAATGCAAACTCCTAGCTTGTATTTATTCATAAACTTCAAGGTTTCTGTTACAAATCACAAACTTTTTTTTTTTAATAAGTATGCAAAACATCCTTTGTATGTGTCCCAAGTGACCACAACATCCTTAGGAGCATTTAATATGACTAAGGCAGCAAAGAAGTTCATGAAAAAATTTTAGTTATCCCAAACCTATAAATTGCATGAAAAGGTGCAGAATTTCTTAAGCATTATCTTTCTATAGCAGTAAAATTTTGGCTTTCAGATCATTACCGGTAAAACCAAGACAGAGAAATTTTAACCAATGCTTTAAAAATTACCATCTTTTAAAGATTAATCTATGAAATAGTAAAGATGCAACTGACAAAAACCCAGTTTAGTAAAAAATTAGACTGCACTTGAAGTAAATTTTACACTAACTTTATATACACACATTTTCAGTTTTTCTTTTTGCCTAAGCAAGTGCAGGGAAGTCAGATTAACCTTTGTGCACAGGCATCTAATTAAAAAATGTAAAAATGTGCCTGAAGACAGGAAAACAAACTTTCTGACTTATGATTTGTATAAGGACAGTTTTTTTTTCCACTAATGAAATTAATCTATTAGTTAATGAAAATGCACTGAATCAAAGACCTAATTTATAGCTAAAACCACCTCTATCTTGAGCCATAACAGCTACTGGTTTAAGAATAAGGAATGAAATTCTTATTCTACGTCAATCGGAGCACAGATTCCATTTCACTATAAGCATATGCCTATGTTTTGGAGCAACAGGTGAATTTCCTTTTTTTCTGTGAGATAAATAGTATAAAACATTTTAATTTTCTAATCAAAGGGCAGTCAATTAAGGATATTCAGCATGTTTCAGACAAACCAAGTGCACTCCGAGGTCTAAGACAATCTTAAGCCAACTGCAAAACTCAAATGGACTTTAGAAACGGATAGGCGAGGCCAGGCGCAGTGGGTCACGGTCACACCTGTTATCCCAGCACTTTGGGAGGCCGAGGCGGGTGGAGGTCAAGAGATCGAGACCATCCTGGTCAACATGGTGAAACCCCGTCTCTACTAAAAATACAAAAAATTAGCTGGGCATGGTGGCACATGCCTGTAATCCCAGCTACTCAGGAGGCTGAGGCAGGAGAATTGCCTGAACCCAGGAGGCGGAGGTTGCGGTGAGCTGAGATCGCGCCATTGCACTCCAGGCTGGGTAACAAGAGGGAAACTCCATCTCAAAAAAAAAAAAAAGAAAGAAAAGAAAGGGATAGGCTAGGCCGGAGGAGTGGCTCACACCCATAATCCCAGCACTTTGAGAGGCTGAGGCAGGTGGATCACCTTAAGTCAGGAGTTCAAAACCAGCCTGGCCAACATGGCAAAACTTCTCTCTACTAAAAATACAAAAAATGAGCAGGGCATGATGTTGTGCACCTGTAGGCCCAGCTACTAGGGAGGCTAAGATAGAAGAATCTCTTGAACCCAGGAGGCAGAGGTTGCAGTGAGCAGAGATAGCACCACTGCATTCTAGCCTTGGAGACAGAGTGAGCCTCCATCCTTCCCCCCACCCCCCGCCAAAAAAAAAGTAAAAGAAAAAAAAAGGGTAGGGTACTCATGAAGAAATAAATCTTCTAGCAACATCCTAAAATACTCTGGAAAACTAAAAGCTTTAATGAAAACCACAATTTTGGCACATATATACACATTAACATTCAAAAAATTTCAGTTCAGCTTTTCAACATCAAATATTTTTTATCTAGATAAAACAGCTATAATAAGCCAACAAAATGGAGGAGAAAATTCAGTTAACTCTCTGAAATGTCATACCAGAGGACATACACACACAAAACCTATCACAGAAAACATTTTTAGGTAAGTAATGTGGCAAGTTCCATAAATTGTTACAATTTCAAACTCCCTATTTTAATTATCTTTTCACCAGTGACCTTTTGGGAAATGTTTAACTACTAAAGCAATGACCCTAATACAACTCACAAAATACACTGGTTTCACTAGGTAGTTTCTTAATTCAGTGATTTATGTACTGTGCTCAATCCCCAAAGTTAGTTACACAAAATCAAAATTCCAAGACCATACCATTACTTTACATACACAAATATTCAACTGCTAAGCAACATATTCTGAATGTTTTCCAAGTTTCTATAAACATCTACAACCTTTCATACAATAAATACGTTACTGTATGGCAGACACCAATATCTTAGTATGTTCCTTAAAATAATACTTCACTACAAAAATATAGTCAAGTTAAATTATATTTGTGGGCCAGGTGCAGTGGCTCATGCCTGTAATCCCAGCACTTCGGGAGGCCGAGGCGGGCGAATCACGAGGTAAAGAGATCGAGACCATCCTGGCCAACATAGTGAAACCTCATCTCTACTAAAATATAAAAATTAGCTGGGTGTGGTGGCGCGCATCTGTAGTTCCAGCTACTCGGGAGGCTGAGGCAGAAGAACTGCTTGAACCCGGGAGGCAGAGATTGCAGTGAGCCTAGATCGTGCCACTGCACCCCAGCCTGGCACCTGGCAACAGAGCGAGACTGTCTCAAAAAAAAAAATACATTTGTGAAACTCAAATTTCAAGAGAGCTGGTTCACTCAGATTTCAGTATTTACCAACAAACACTGGGTCAAGAAATTTTAAGTATCTTAAAAAATAAAATGTGGATATGATCAAAAAATGACAACAAATAAGCAAAGACAATAAATAGACTATTAATACTTTCTTAATAGCTCTTAACCATCATTTGCTTATTTTTACTAACTTACTAAATGGTACTTGCCATTTATTAAGAAGCACTCAGTTTGGAACAGACAATATCCTGGGCATTTTATCGTCACAACCTTACAGGTCAAATGTCAAAATATTATCTGAAACACTTTTAGGTTTTAAGGCACAGAACTGCACCCGCCTAAGAGAGTACTGACCTCTTCTCTTCCCAGATACCATTTGTTACTGCTGGCCTCAGGATTATTTTCTATTCCTAGGAATGTACCCTTAACTAACTACAACTCAGGGACAGCAAACTAACAGGTCCCTAGCGGCTGGATAAGCAGAATTTAAAGAACTTTTAAGGCAGAAACGGGCAGCAGTCAAACTTGAAGTAAGTATGCCAAGGTACCCAGGGCACTGAAATTTCCTCAAGTCCTCAGCCTGTGTGTTCTGTTAAGTGGACTCAACCCACTTAACCCACACAAACGCTAGAAAACACAACCGTAGGTGGAAGAAACACTAGAGCAGTTCCAATACGAAGGAAAGTAAAAGACTCTCACTGCCTTCCCCGAGAGAAGCAGTCGCCGTCGACTATTAATGACCCACAATCGCTGTATTTCAACTGCAAAGGACAGCAGCCAAGAACCACGTGAAAAAATGCCGCAAGGAAAGCTCTTCCGGGGAAGAGGAGTCCCGAAAGATCACGTGCAGCCGGCTGGAACCCGAAGATCGCGCTGCGGAACCCAGCCGCATTCTGTTACCTTGGAGACTACAGAATCAGTCACCAGACCCTCCCCGGTCAACCCCCTTCCCAGCAGCCGTCACGCCGCCCCCAGGCACTTTCCTTGCAGCCTAGCCGCGGCGTCGTGCCCAAAAAGAACGAACAGAGCAAGCAGTTAACAGGGGACTTAGCTGCATAAGCCTGGCAAGCTCTACAACAACCCGTGTGCTGGTGGGCTCGAGACTTCTCATGACCCACGTGTTTGCTCCGGCGAGGCAAACCTTGGGAAAGTTATCTTCCCTCTAAAAGAGTGCACTCTGGTTTCTCATGTTGGTCTGCCATCAGTAACCTCCTTTCAGACCTCATTTACCCGTTCCTGCTTCCACCCCAGCCAGAGGAAGAAGGCATTCCCAGGGTTCGAAAGGCCAGGCAAAAATCTGCACAGCAAGACATTACCACTTTGCACTCTCGACCCAGTCTGAAATGATCCCTAGTTTCTCCTTATTCCTCGGACACACAGAGTCCTCAACTTTGGCTGCCGGTGCTTCGTGAAGAGCGCGCGGGGGCGGGGGGGAGCTGTTAATGTCTCCGACACCTAGCCCTGAGGGCAGAGACCTACTTGAACATTTAACAGAAACGGGAAACCCCAAAATCAGAACTAGGCAAAGGCTGCCCCACAGAAGGAAAAAGAAAATAACACCTGCTCTCCCACCTGTTTTCCCCTCCCTCATTTCTACACTTACACAACACCGGTCCTTTGTTTACCAAGTCCCCACTCCTACAGCTCACTTCCTCGCCCTCCTTTATTAAACTTGCCGTCCTGCCTCAAACAATTTGGCCGGAAATTACTTGTTAGAAGACACGTTTACACAGGTGTCAAAACGCTGCGCCCAGTTCCGCAGAAAAGCGACGCCAGCACCGTTTCCCTTGCAGTTCTAGAAGCACGAGACCTAGGCTCTAAACTGCAAAGCACGTAAGCATGGCTCTTGACCTAGAGCCCGGCGCCGGGCTAGAAGTCGTCACGCAGACGTACCACGCGGAGCGGCACCCCACGCACGCGAAGGCAGGGCCGAGTCATGGGCGCTTCTCACCCCTCCCGCCTCGTGGCCGCTCTCTCTGGCGTCGATGTTCCTTCCCACTTAGGTAGCTGAGCGACGCGGAAGTGAGGCCGGGGACGCGCGCGAGGTGACATGCGCAGCTTCGCTCAGGGGACCATAGGCGCGCGCCAAAGGCGGCCCCGCGCAAGGCCCGGCCTGGCGAGGGCGTGCGAAGCTCTCTCAGCGGAACGTTTCTCACGCCGTTCAAATACACAAGAGCTTCAAACTCTCGAAAAACTCCAATCGGGCCATTACTAAGCGATGCCCTCCACCCAGGCCTGAGAGTTACCGTGCGGGGCGTGGCCGGCCTCACCAGGAGTCCTTCACATCCCGCTGGGGGCGGGTTATTCTGTTCGGTTCGCACACCGTGTGTCCGCTCCAGCTGAAGAGCCTGCGCGCGCGCACCGGACGTCCACGTCACCGCGCACGCGCTCCTACCCGAGCGGAGCCCGCCGCGCAGGCGCAAAAAGAGACGCGAGCAGCACCTCCCTGACCCCTCCCCCAACACCGGGAGTCCAAACGGCCCCAGAGCAGCAGCAAGACCCTTGGGACCCGCCCCTAGTGTGGAAGCCGCTGCTTTTCCGGGTCCCAGGAACCCAGAAAAGCCTACTGAAGCTTCTAGAATCAAGAAAGGCGAGGCAGAAGGGAGGCAGCTAGATTCCTCAGGCTTGCACACGAAGCCTTCGTGGAAACTGTGAAACCACTGCCCGCCAGGCCTTTCTCAACTGTGCCTTTCACCCTTTCCCTAGGGCTCCTCGCCGGCCCCGCCCCGGCCGCGCCCAGCCCCACCCACACGGGGCTCCGCAGACCCCCAGCCTCCACAAGCCCGTCAAATGAATTCGAGGTCTTCCTCCCCAGAGTGCCGGGGCTTGGACAGCCGCAGAGCATTGGGAAACCTTGAAGCAACGACCTTGAGAGACGGATGGTCGAGTTTACAACATCCACATCCGAAGACGACTAGGAAAAATGGGGAGGAGACCGAAAGACTCAGTGCGCAGTTGGAAAGCGAAGAGTTGCCACTAAATTGCCTGATATAAAGATGAAATACATCTTGATAAACAGGGAAACAAGAAACTTGCAGGAGTGTGTTATCTGAGCTTTAGTGCCTTGATCCTGTGCATTCAATTTTTGTTTCTTGAAGACATTTAAGCTATGAGGTGCAAAGAAAATATTACTGAATAGCTTATGTTTCAGGCAGTGGCTGAACTAAATCAATGGACAGTATTTCTCCTAACCTTCAGAAATTAGTTATCTTTCTCCTTCTCTACTCACCAGCTGTTCTTTCTTCTGTGCTGCTTACACACCAGTAAAAAGGAAGATAGTTTAAAGAGAGATAAAAGAGGCAAAAAAGGAGTAAGGAATAGGAGAGCAGAATGCGCGGTCCATGATCCAAAACTGCTTTCTTTCACTGTCTTATAAGAATTAGCAAGCACTGAGAACCTACGACATGATAGGCTAGGTGACTTAATACAAAACACTATGGAAAAGAATGAGGAGACTAAGAGGAAGGAATCAACAGGAGAAGCTTTATCCAACACTACTGATCTGACCTACTTTTTACTTAGAAAGGACCTTATTTCTCTACACTTTGCTCTTCCTGAGGAGACAGACAACATGGACAGAAACTGCTGGAATAGTCTGAACTAGAAAACGTATAGGCTGTTTTACAGACTTCTGAAGGCATTCTGAACCCCCCAATTCAGGCACCGTCAGCAAGAGCATTCAAGATCCTAGGCAAAATTGAAATATAACAGTTTAACACCTTCCTCCTCTTCCCTGACCCTAAGAACCATTCCTACAAGCTGCCCTGTAAAAATCTCCCACCTCACCAAGAATGCCTTCTGCTTAAGGATCTAAGGTTTCCTCATAAAAAAAACTTCCATTTTCTGGGTAAGAAATAAAAAGTTATGTTGATTTAGCATTAAAACGGCTGGGCGCGGTGGCTCACGCCTGCAATCCCAGCACTTTGGGAGGCCAAGGTGGGTCAAAAGGTAAGGAGTTCAAGACCAGCCTGGCCAAAATGCTGAAACCCCATCTCTACTAAAAATACAAAAAAACACTAGCTGGGCGTGGTGGCACGCACCTGTAGTCCCAGCTACTCGGGAGGCTAAGGCAGGAGAATTGCTTGAACCCAGGAGACAGAGGTTGCAGTGAGCCGAGACTGTACCACTGCACTCCAGCCTGAGCAATAGAGGGAAACTCTGTCTCAAAAATTAAAAAAAAAAAAAAAAAAAAATCGAACTTCTAGCCGGGCATGGTGGCTCACGCCTGTAATCCCAGTACTTTGGAAGGCCAAGGCTGGCCGATCACAAGGTCAAGAGATTGAGACTATCCTGCCCAACATGGTGAAACCCCATCTCTACTAAAAATACAAAAATTAGCTGGGCATGGTGGCACGCGCCTGTAGTCCCAACTACTCGGGAGGCTGCGGCAGGAGTACTCTTGAACCTGGGAGACAGAGGTTGCAGTGAGCTGAGATCGTGCCACTACACTCCAGCCTGGCGACCAAGCGAGACTCTGTCTCAAAAAAAAAAGGCATTAAAACAACTGATCCTAAGGTGTGAATGACTGGTTAACAACCATGCATCCCCAAAGAGACAAGTTAACCCAAATGATCTCCAATTGGGGGATCTGCTAGGACAACTCGTGGGGAAGACGGGGAATGGAGATTCTCTTTTGGTACTCTTTCCCTACACCAGGCAAACATATTACTAAATACTTTAAAAAAAAAAATGCAGAACTTTCAAGATTCAGTACTAAATATCCCAGTGGGAGAAGAAAACTATCCATAGTTTTTCAAAGTGGAGTCTGCCTAACCTAGAAAGGTCAGGAGATGTCAAGAATCCAAGGGTCCTATGAGATCTTGTGTTGTTTTTATATGCTGTTCTAAGAATACCACCACATGGATTTCAGGGATCCAGTTTGGGTTTACCATCATGCAGGTACCAAGTAACCACTTGTTTTTCGTTTTTCTTTTTTATTTGCTTCAAGTAACCACTTAAATGGTTACATTCAACTTTTAATGCAGTAGTCTCATACTGAAGTTCTTAGTTGCATACTTTGGATAATGTAAGAAATTTCCTCCTTTAAAAGGCATCCATGTATAACCCAAGGTTTTAAGATGCCAAGCTAACTGCTAAAGTGATGCTCCTAAGTTCCACCTTTTTCAGTTATCATAGCTCAACTTATTGGCACAGCCTAACACAAAAGTCTTTGCCTTGATTTTCCTAAGCTGAACGTTCAAGGGGATTTTTCTGAATATTAAGGGAAAAGAAAAAAAAAACTATAGAGAATGCATGCCATTTAACAATCTGGCCTAGAATGTACACAGTTTTGATCCCAGGTTGTCCTATAAACACACAGGCACTATCCCATTTATATACACACTTTCCCTAATCAGCAAATATCTGAGTGCCTTCTATATGCTGAGGATAGAGCAAAGATTGGCACCTCGTGCACTTTTCAGATGTCTATAGCAGAACCCCAAAGATTGGCACAACTTAATTAACAGACTCCACCAAGACAAACCTCCTAATCCAATCTATTCAGATCCAATCCTTTCAGTTCTGATTTCTAAAACATCCTCTCTCAACTGACCAAAAAAAAGACCTCACTCTTCAGATAAAACCACTACCATGAATAAACTCCTGGACTAGGTAGGGCCTCATTTAAAATATCAGAATGATAAAGAACATTCATCAAATAAAGGCTACATACAGACCAAGTTTCAAAAGATGCTTGCTTTTGTTTTTACAAAAGTCCTTCATCCGGACGCGCGGTGGCTCACACCTGTAATCCCAACACTTTGGGAGGCCAAGGTGGGCAGATCACTTGAGGTCAAGAGTTCAAGATCAGCCTGGCCAACACAGACATCTCCACTAAAAATACAAAACTCAGCCGGGGATGGTGGCATGTGCCTGTATTCCCAGCTACTCAGGAGGCTGAGGCACCAGAATTGTTTGAATCCAGGAGGCGGAGGTTGCAGTGAGCTGACATCCCACCACTGTACTCCAGCCTGGGTGAAAGAGCAAGATTCTGTCTCAAAAAAAAAAAGTAAACTAAAAAATAAAGTATATGGGAGGATGTACATGGGTTATATGCAAATACTATGCCATCATATAGAAGAGACTTGAGCATCTGAGAATCTGGGTATCCTGTGGGGGGATCTTGGAACCAATCCCCCACAGATACTGAGGGAAAACTATTACCCAGAAAATCAACAAAAACAGCAGATTCTTAGAACAAATTGGAAAAAATGTTGTAATACCATCTGGTAATGGAAGCAACAAGTTGTAATGGAGACTACCATCTGTTACATATTCATCTACAAGGAAAAAACACCAAGTATATTAAAGAAAGGACAGTTTAGTAACAGTGAATTTGTTTTACTAAATTCTAAAGGAAAATGTCAGTCAGGCACAGTGGCTCACACCTGCAATCCCAGTACTTTGGGATGACAAAGTGGGAGGATCATTTGAGCTCAAGAGTTTGAGACCAGCCTGGGTACCATAGTGAGACTCCATTTTTATTTAAAATATGGCACAATGGCTCATGCCTGTAATCCCAGCACTTTGGGAGGTTGAAACATGAGGACTGATTGTGCTCAGGAGTTCGAGACCAGCCTGGGCAACATAACGACTTCCCATCTTTATTTAAAATAATAATAATAAATTAATTAGCTGGGTATGGTGGTGCATACCTGCAGTCCCAGCTCAAGAGGCTGAGGTAGGAAGATAGTTTGAGCCAGGACTTTGAGCCCACAGTGAGTTATGATGGCACCACTGCATACTGGGTGACAGAGTGAGACCCTGTCTCAAAAAAATAACAAAGGAAAAATGTCAGAAAACAATAAAACAACTGAAGTTCAGAAAGATTCAGAAGGATTATGAATCAAAACATAAAAGGTCTAAAAGAAACATAGTAAAAGTTTTAAACATAATATTAACCCCTTAGAAGAATCATCTTATCTAGGAAAGCTTTAGGAAGAACAAGTTTACCTAACTAAGCCAAGGGCTACACAGAGATTTAAAATACACGAGAAGGGTATAAAAACAGAAACTAGAGTTATTAGCCAAAGAAGAGGGGATAGATCAAGTAAACTGCAAAGCTGGAATTAGGCAAAAATCAAGACGCCTATGAGAAAAAAATATACTGGAAAATTTTTTGTAAACGCATATGAAAGCAGCCATCCTTATTTTACATGAAGGGCAATACTGCCTCAAAGAAAAGAGCTATGGTGGTCATTATAGGAATTCCCCAACTATTAGACATCACAGACCAGAAAAATATCCCAAAAAAGTATTGAGGACCATCGTAAGGTGAACAAAATTTATCTTACAAAACATACATTATCGGCTGGGCACAGTGGCTCATGCCTATAATCCCTTTGGGAGGCCAAGGGCCACCTGGATCACCTGAGGAATGGAGTTCGAGACCAGCCTGACCAACATGGAGAAACCTCATCTCTACTAAAAATACAAAATCAACCGGGCATGGTACCACATGCCTGTAATCCCAGCTACTCAAGAGGCTGAAGCAGAAGAATCACTTGAACTCAGGAGGCAGAGGTTGCAGTGAGCTGAGATTGTGCCACAGCACTCCAGCCCGGGCAACAATAGCGAAACTCCATCTCAAAAAAAAAAAAAATATCCATCATCTATTATTACTATGATTCCTTTAAAAAAAAAAAGATCACTTTAAGATTAAAAACAACTAGAAAGAACATCTCATAATAGTCTTATTTTTAATACATTTAGATAGATAAAAAATTCACTACATTGGTCCTTTTGCTGTGATGTATCACTGAAAACTTCTTTACAGACAGGTATTTATTTATTTATTTTATTTGCTTGCTTGCTTGCCTGCAGAGACGGGGCTTCACTATGTTGGCCAAGCTAGTCTCGAACTCCTGACCTTGTGATCTGCCCACCTCAGCCTCCCAAAGTGCTGGGATTACAGGCGTGAGCCACTGCACCCAGCCTAAAAGGACAGGTATTTTAAAATGACTGATCGGCCATACAGGAGCCTCCCTAGATAGCTAAGATTTGGTGTTCATAGAAAAAAACAATATACAACAGGACTGGGATTGGGTATAATAAGTCACTTGGCCAAGAGGTCAAGAGTCAGCTTCTCATCAGTAACAATACAGAAGAAGAGGATGTTGGCCAAGAGACATCTCAGTTAAGAACAAAGGACAGCCACAAGATTAGGAAACTACTTTGGGAATGGGCGTGGGGGGGGTGGGGAGGTGGGCTGGGAACATGGAAAACCGGAAAGCCTTTACTCTGGGGCAAGATCCTGCAACTTTGGTAAACAGTACAGAACAGTGTAGTAAAACCAAGGTCAGACAGAGTGAACCACCTACCCGATTACCACATACCTAGGAAAAACTGTGGAACACATGGTGGCAAAGGAAGAGGCAGGTTAAGTTACACTTAGTTTAAACTAGGCTTCAGGCATATCACATACATGAGGGGAAAAGGTGGGGGAAACTTGTTTTATTTGAAAAGTAAATCAAATGGAATTTTTTTTTTTAAGAGACGGGGTCTCACTCTGTCACCCAGGCTAGAATGCAGTGGTGTGATCATGACTCAATGCAGCTTCAGCCTCCTAGGCTCATGTGATGTTCCTTTCTTAGCCTCCTGAGTAGCTGGTATTAACAGGCCATACCACCACGCCTGACTAATTTTTTTTTGTTTAATGTAGAGATGGGGTCTTGCTATGTCAGATTTTACATATTCCTTCAAAATAAACACTGTAAAAATATTTTATAATCTTGACCTTTACTAAAATTGTTAGCTGTGATGTAACCACTGGAGGGCAGGGGAACACCTGGGGTTTTTCGGGTTTTTTTTGGTAGGTTCTTTTGTTTTTTTGTTTTTTTGAGACAAAAGTCTCGCTCTGTCGCCCAAGCTGGAGCACAATGGCACAATCTTGGCTCACTGCAACCTCCACCTCCCAGATTCAAGCAGTTCTCCTGCCTCAGCCTCCTGAGTAGCTGGGATTACAGGTGCCAGCACCATGCCCAGCTAATTTTTTTGTATATTTAGTAGAGAAAGGATTTCACCATCTTGGTCAGGTAATCCTGACCTCAGGGGATCCACCCGCCTCAGCCTCCCAACATGCTGGGATTACAGGTGTGAGCCAGAGAAGGGATTTCACCATCTTGGTCAGGTGATCCTGACCTCAGGGGATCCACCCGCCTCAGCCTCCCAAAGTGCTGGGATTACAGGTGTGAGCCACTGCGCCCAGCTACACCTGTTTTAAAAAGAGGAAAAGGCTGTATGGAAATAGAGAACATGAAGATTATTCAAGCAACTTGAATGCAGTACAAATTATAAGTATACAGATTACAAACTGTAGAGATTATACAGAGGCAATATTTTTCATCATGATTACTTCCACTCTACATTCTTGGGGTTATCTATCCTTATTAGCATAAGTAAATAAGGCTACAATGAGTTAAATATTTATTAAGTATCAACTATGTGCTAAGCCCTAAAACTGGGGAAAATGAATAAATAAAAACAATTCCCCTCAAAAAGCTCAACTCTGATTGACAAGACAGAATAACCATATTGCAAAACTGTAGTTGGTAGTGTGGAAAAAGCCTCTGGGAATACTAAAGGAACATACAAAACCTACAAAGGGTATAAAGTCCCAGCCTCCAGAACTGTGAGCCAAATAAACTTCTATTGTTTATAAACTACGTACTCTGTGGTGTCCTGTTATAGAAGCAGAAAATGGACTAAGACCACATGAAAATAACCTAGGTTACTTAGAAATGGGCTTGGACAGTTAAAAAATATTCATCCTACCTGGAGTTAGTATCAGAAAAAAAAAAACTATTCATCCAATCTCCAAGTCCATGATGCTCATGATGTACATTTACTCTTTTGAACATTTAGACCCCTACTCTGCACTATCAAATATTTTTATAAGAGGTATGCAAAAGAAAAATTATAGGGCCAGGTACAGTGGCTCACACCTGTAATCTCAGCACTTTAGGAGGCTGCAACAGACAGATCACTTGAGGTCAGGAGTTTGAGACCAGCCTGGCCAACAGAGTGAAACCCTGTCTCTACTAAAAATACAAAAATTGGACAGGCATGGTGGCGCACACCTGTAATTCCATCTGCTCGGGAGGCTCAGGCACATGAATTGCTTGAACCAGGGAGGCGGAGTAGAGTAAAATATTTCAGAGGGTTATGGTCAGGATAGACATTTGCAGGACAACTGGTGAAAAAAGAATCTAGGAGAAAGGAAGAGAAGAGTAGTCATAAAAATAAGAAATAAATACTTGAGAGTAGTATTACAGAAGCTAAGGAGGGAGAATGTCTTAAAGAACAAGGAAGCAGCAAGGCCTCATAACCAAGGAGTCAAGGATTTAAAAACAGAAAAATGTATTCCAGGAACTACAGAGTTTCATAAGTGGAGTAGTGCAATAGAATATTCACATATGCAAGGCGAGGAAGTAAAATGAGTATCAGGGTCTAGTGCTCAGGACAGAGAATCATACTGAAGAAAATCAATGTATTTCAAACTATAAAAGTGGATGCAGTTGGGCTGGGCAACGTGGCTCACACCTGTAACCCCAGCACTTTGGAAGGCCAAGGCAGGTGGATCACCTGAGGTCAGGAGTTTGAGACCAGTCTGACCAACATGGAGAAACTGTTTCTACTAAAAAAAAAAAAAAAAAATACAAAATTGGCCAGGCGTGGTGGTGCATGACTATAATCCCAGCTACTCAGGAGGCCGAGGCAGGAGAATTGCTTGAACCCGGGATATAGAGGTTGCCGTGAGCCTAGACCACACCATTGCACTCCAGCCTGGACAACAAGAGTGAAATTCAATCTCAACATAAAAGAAAAAAGAAAGCAAGTGCAATTTTCAGGTGTAGCACATAGACAGGTGGAGCTCATAGACAGGTGGAGCTCTGATCTGGAATCTACAAATGAGCTTGCAAGCAAATGTCCTATGAAACTCCTAAAATTATGAACAGAAGTTTGTCTAAGATAC